TGGCATTTCTCCCAGTAAATAGGGGAGTTTCTGTGTGTCTGATAATAATTCGAATTCGGGGTATATTTGGGAAATGTTTGCGAATTGTTTTTCTCTTAAAGTTTTGAATTTAGGGCATGAGATTAGAAAGTGCAGCTCTGTCTCTACCTATCCTCTGTCACACTGGGAGCAGAGTCTCTCCTCTTCTGGTAGCCAGTTCTGTCTGTGGCGACCCGTTTCTATGGCCAGGCTGTGTTCACTCAGTCTGTACATTGTCAGCATTTTTCTTAATTTAGGACATTATTTATGTGATCAGGTAATTTGCCAGTTTGAATTCTCTTTTTAGGGTCAGATAACATTGTAATTTACTTTGTGTTTTGGTCGTTGCTTTCCAGTATTCAATATATTTTTCTTTTTGCTTGTTGATAATTTGGTTTGGTCTGATTGAGTTGGTGTTGCTGTCCTGAGGCTGTTGGGGACATGTTACTGCAGAGAGCCTCAGGACCAACTGGCTGAGGGGACTCTTCTCTGGTTTCAGCTCCTGGTATGTTAGGGCTTTGTGATGGTATGTCTGGGGGTTAACTGATTTTAAATAAAATTTAATTGATCTTTTCTGTATTTTTAGTAGGAGGGGGTATTGGCCGAGTTCTGCTCTGCACAGATTATTTGGTGTTTTTCTCTGCACCTGCAGATGCTCTTACAGAACTCGGTGTGGAAAGATTCTATGATTGTTTTGTCCCATTTGTCAAATTCATTATTTAGTTTTGGTCCCCAAATTTCGCTGCCATATAGAATCATTGGTTCTAGTACAAATTGGAAAATTTTAAGCCAGATTTTGATTGGAATATAGATTTTAATGTTTCTCTTTACTGCATAGAAAGCTCTCCTTGCTTTGTCCCTCAGATCTTTCACAGCCATGTTGAGGTTTCCTGTGTATGTAATGTTGAGGCCAAGATAAGTGTAGTTTTTTGTATGTTGTATTTTAGTGGTATCTTATTCTTTGCTGTGTTTACTGTCAGGGCCCAGATCTGACAAAATCTCTGCAGGAGATTAAGGTGCTGCTGCAAACCTTCTTTAGTAGGTGAAAGCAATACTAAGTCATCTGCATATAGCAGACCTCTGATCTCTGTGTCGTTCAGGGTGAGGCCAGGTGCCTTGGAACGCTTTAGTTGGTTCGCTAATTCATTGATATATAGATTGAAGAGAACTGGCTTGAGATTGCATCCCTGCCTCACTCCCCGGCCCTGGGAGAAGAACGCTGTTTGTTTGTTTCCAATCTTTACGGCACATTCACTTTTTGTATACATGTTCTTAATCAGATCATATGTTTTTCCTCCAATGCCACTTTCAAGTAGTCTATAGAAAAGGCCCTCGTGCCAGATGGAATCAAAGGCTTTTTTGAAGTCAACGAAACAGGCATATACCTTTCTTTTCTTAATTTTTAATTCTTGATCAATTCAATTCAATTCAATTTTATTTGTATAGCGCCAATTCATAACAGAAGATATCTCAGGACACTTTTCAAATAGAGCAGGTCTAGACCGAACTCTTTAAAACATTAATTACAGAGACCCAACAGTACCACCATGAGCAAGCACTTGGCGACAAGGGCAAGGAAAAACTGCCTGTTAAAAGGCAGAAACCTAGGACAGATCCTCTGGCTCTAAGTGGGTGGTCGTCTGTCTCGACCAGTTGGGGTGAGAGAGAGAGAGAGAGGCAGAGAGAGAGAGAGCGAGAGACAGACAGACAGGTGCACAGCAACAACAGTATTGGCAATGGCAATCTAGCAGGACCATGGCAGGAGGCTCCTTCAGGATCGACAAGAACCTGCGAGACGAGAAAGCACAAGAACTCCGGGGAAGAAGTGAAGTTAGTAACATGCATTAATGGGACATGAATGAGTGCAGAAAGAGAGAGGAAGGGAGGAGCTCAGTGCATCATGGGAAATCCCTGATAGTCTAGGCCTATAGCAGCATAACTAAGGGATGGTTCAGGACTCACCTGATCCAGCCCTAACTATAAGCTTTATCAAAGAGGAATGTCTTAAGCCTACTCTTGAATGTGGTGAGGGTGTCTGCCTCCCGAACCACAAATGGAAGCTGGTTCCACAGGAGAGGAGCTTGGTAGCTGAAGGCTCTGGCTCCTGTTCTACTTTTAGAGACTATAGGAACCACAAGTAGCCCAGCATTCAGAGAACATAGTGTTCTAGAGGGGTAATAGGGTACTATGAGCTCTTTAAGATATGAAGGGGCCTGACCATGAAGAGCTTTATAGGTGAGGAGGAGGATTTTAAATTCTATTCTACATTTTACAGGGAGCCAATGCAGAGAAGCTAGTACAGGAGAGATGTGATCTCTTTTTCTAGTTCCTGTCAGTACTCGTGCTGCAGCGTTCTGAATTAATTGGAGCGTTTTAATGGACTTATTGGGGCAACCTGATAATAAAGAGTTGCAGTAATCCAGCCTTGAAGTAACAAATGCATGGATTAGTTTTTCTGCATCTGTCTGTGATAGGATGTGTCTAATTTTTCTAATATTACGTAAATGAAAGAAGGCAGTCCTAGAGGTCTGCTTTATGTGGGAGTTAAATGACAAATGACAAAAAAGATAACTCCAAGATTCCTGACAGTGGTGCTAGAGGCCAAGTTAATGCCATCTAGAGTAACTATATCTTTAGACAGTGAGTCTCTAAGGTTTTTGGGGCCAAGAACAAGAATTTCGTTTTTTTCTGAGTTTAACATCAGAAAATTGCAGGTCATCCAGGATTTTATGTCCTTAAGACATGTTTGTAATTTAGATAATTGATTAATTTCATTGGGCTTGATTGATAGATATAACTGCGTATCATCTGCATAACAGTGAAAGTTAATGGAGTGATTCCTAATAATGTTGCCTAAAGGGAGCATATATAAAGTAAATAGTATTGGTCCAAGTACAGAACCTTGTGGAACTCCATGACTAACTGTAGTATTTATTGAAGATTCATCGTTAACATGTACAAACTGCGAGCGATCTGATAAATATGACTTAAACCAGCTTAGTGCGGTTCCTTTAATGCCAATTTGATGCTCAAGTCTCTGTAAAAGAATATTATGGTCAATGGTGTCAAATGCAGCACTAAGATCTAATAATACAAGTACAGAGACACCTTCCTCTCCCTCTTCCATTCCCAGGCCCAACTATTCGTCTTCCTTGTTCAGACATTATTCTTTCTTTCTTTCTCTCCTCATCTGTGTTGTTCTGTATCCGCATAAAATAACTTCCACACCTGGCTATGTCTCTGATTGAGATTGGAATTAGCTGTGGTTGATCTATTTTACCCAAATTACAATAAATCAGCTATTTCTCAATGTTTCATTGATATGTTCATTAAGAAGTGCTTATCAGCTGTTTCAATATATATTTTGAACTTCTTTTGTTGCAGAAGTAGAGGCTTTATGCAATATTGAAGGTTTTGATCATAAGGTCTTTATTTCTGACATGTTGTGTGTAAGCATTTGTAAATAATACAAAAAACATCCATAGTTTTGGTATTGGGTGAGCTTGAACGAAAAGAAAAACGTAGCATTGTAGAAATGGGTTAATTGACTGCATATTCTGTGGAAACAACATGAATTGTGTTAATTGTATGGTATGAACAGACAGATGGCTAACTGTGTTTAGAGTTTTGAAAATGTGACTACAGATTGGACAAAAAGATGTTAGCGGTTGTAAAAAAATGTAACATGAACATGACTAAACTCAACAAACCTGACAAGACACAACATACAGAGACAAGTCCATTGTCGGAAGCAATTAAAAGGTTGTTATTAACTTTAATCAGTGCTGTCTCTGTGCTGTGATGAACTCTAAATCCTGACTGAAAATCCTCAAATAAGCTGTTGCTAGTCACACAACTGTTTGGCGGCTACTTTGGCGGAGGTTAGAAATAGGTCTATAGTTAGCTAAAACCCCTGGGTCAAGAGTGAGCTTTTTAAGAAGGGGTTTAATTACAGCTACTTTAAAGGCATGTGGTACATATCCTGACAATAAAGAAAGATTGATCATATCAAGTAAAGAAGTGCCAACTAAGGGTAAGACTTCTTTAAGCAGCCTAGTTGGGATGGGGTCTAACAGACAGGTTGATGTAGATGTAGAGATTTGAAGTTAGTTGATGCAGCTCGATGAAAGACAGTCTCAATATATATCTGAATTTACATTTGTAAATTCTTCATCACCATCCACAAGACCACAGGAACATATAGAGGAGTTAAACCCATTCCCCGTACCAACACACATTCACCAGTATCTCTATCTTGAGAAAAGACAAGCACAGAAGCTAGAATAAATTAATTCTTTGCTCCTGTGTCTCATAGAATTTTTACAGGCACTTTAACATCGCTAACAGTGAGAGACACACACCCATCAGTCACGATAACTTCGAAAACCAGAATATTTCTCAGTTTCTGGTTCAACTGCCAACTTGCCTCTGACAACTGGAATTTTCTTAACTGAGAGCAACTGGTTTAACATGATTGTCACCTGTGCGATTTACCCTGCTTTTCAGTGCAGGGCACTCTGCTTTCCAATGTCCTCACTCATGGCAGTAATTGCAGACTTTACCAAAACCACCTGAACGTGGACCATGATTTATCTTTGAAGATTCAGACCAAGAAAATTTAGCAGAATGACCATTAGCTTTAGCATTAGCATTATCTAAAAAAACGTTTGTTCCAGATTTTCCTTTATGCGCCAACACATATTCATCTGCCAGAATAGCAGCTTCAGAGGCAGTTTCTAGGTCCCATGTTGATTGTAAGGGGTTAAGTGCTATAACTCTACAGTACAGTTCTCTCTCAGTCTAGACCATTGACAGTATGTAGGTCCAAACATCAGCCTGGCCACTATATTCCTCCCTGCAGCTGTAACTGGATATTTGTTTTTCCAGGCTGTTATTCTTTTGGTCCAGTTATGTAATCTTGTGGCCCAGATGATCTGGTATCACCTGGCCAGTCAGCCAATCAGAGGACAGCTACTGCCAGCTTGACGTGTTGTGTATAAAAGGAGAACATAATGTGTGAAACAAACACCTGTTGGCCACAGAAACCTGTACACACACTGGAAGTCATGAAGCTGACTGTGTTGCTCTGTTCTGTCCTGCTGCTCTCTGTCTCTGGTGAGTTCATTAACAGCATAAAGTAATAATCTTAACAAGTCATTTATTCTCACTCCCTTAAATCAAAAATAGTCAGCTGAAAATGTAGAAATCTTTCACTTGTTCCTAGTGTAATTTTATTATAATACAGGATGTTCTAATAATGAGACACAGCATAACAAAACAAGACAGAATAAAGCGGAACACTGCAAATGGCTGTTTGAGGGTTTACACTTGGTTTTAAGGTTAAGGTCAGAATTAGGTTAGTGTAAGACTACGATAAGGGTTGGGGTTAGATATTTGATGGTGTAATGGTTAGGGTCCAGGGAATCTTTTAGTGTAAGTAAGTATAGAAGTGCAAACGTGTGTGTGTGTGTGTGTGTGTGTGTGTGTGTGTTTGTGTGTGTTTAGTCACTTCCCTGGAGGATGAGACTGCAGCTCCAGACAGTGATGAGATGTCTGGAGTACCAGACCAAGAGGCTCTGGCTGAACCCAGAGAAGTGAGTGATCTGATTCTGTGATTTTATTTTAAGTATGGTTAAGTGAGGTTTACTGATTGAAAAAAAATAAAAAGGGTGTTTTGCTGAGTTTACTGTAAACTGGTATCACGGCTGCAGAATTTTACAGTGTTATGTCTTTAATTTAGCAATTTAAAAACTCATCTTTAACTGTTGCGTATTACAACTTACAATGTTTTTGCCTCATCCAAAAATAAATTTAGTCCGGTATTGTGGATTAGAAAACAAAGAATAGTTTAACATTTTAGAAAATATGCTTATTTGCTTCCTTTCAGAGTGGACTGGGAGGATTTGCTTGGAGTGTCCTATAAAACTCATGAACTCATTAAACATTTCAGTCAGACATCACAACTTTCCAAGTGCTGGTGTCCCACCGCATGCAGCTACTTTTTATCTTTTTGCCCCCTGCCCCTCAGATAGTCCACCACTGACTTGAACAAAAGGATGTTAAAGTTATTGATATTTTGAAAAATATCTGGCATTTTTCAAGTAACTAAAACTACTGCAGTCTAATACAACAGTCCTGCATAAATCCTCCCTTTACGAACGTTATAATGCTCACTTAGGTGTTGATTTAAATTAAGTCTATAATTACTTTTGAGGCTGTGGGAATTAGAGCTCTTAACTTCCCACCACCTCATCCACCTGTCAATTAGATATCATCCCCACCAGATTTCTGAACAGGCTTTTTCTGACTGCAAGTGTGATGAATCACTTTATTACATGGAGCATGGAGAGAAGACCCCAGCATAGATGTTCCAGACTTCCTATTTACAGTATCGCTGTAAATCGCATGTGAAGGTTTTAGGTATTCAACACAAATGGTCCTGTGATCTGACTGTGTGACTATGAACAGATTCTTACCAGACGTCCTGCTACCATAAAAATCACTAACCCCCCTTAACAAACTGAAAACATTTAATACCCCATCTAAAACATGTATCTCCCACATTATTATTTGGCTTTTTCTTAACCAATGGGTTTTTTGCTGTAATCTATTAAATTATTTTATCCTGTTTTCATCTTAAGTCCTAGAGCTCATTGCTTTTCTTTTTCTTTTTACTGTAAGCACTTTCTTACTTTGTTTTTGAAAGTTGTTATATAAATAAAGTTATTATTATTTTATCTTGCTCTGTAAAGCACTTTGTAACTGTTTTGAAAAGTGCTAATCATTGTTGTTATCGTCGTCGTCATCATCTTCTTCTATTAGTGTAGTTGTGGCTACTGTTGTTGCTGTGCACCTGTCTCTCTGTCTGTCTGTCTCTCTCTCTCTATCTATCTCTCTCTCTCTCTCTCTCTCTCTCTCTCTCTCACCCCAACTGGTCGAGGCAGACGACCACCCACCTAGAGCCGAAGGGTCTGTCCTCAGTTTCTGCCTCTTAAAAGGCAGTTTTTCCTTGCCCCCGTTGCCAAGTTCTTGCTCATGGTGGTACTGTTGGGTCTCTGTAAATAATGTTATAAAGAGTTCGGTCTAGACCTGCTCTATTTGAAAAGTGTCTTGAGATAACTTCTGTTATGAATTGGCGCTATAAAAATAAAATTGAATTGAATTAAATTAAATTAAATAAAGTTATTATTATCATTACTGTTATACAGTTTCAACAAATTCCTAATATTATGACCTACATAAAAGAAGGCTTTATTGCATGACTGTATTAGACTGAATTGGTTTTAGCCCTACCAAATAAGTTGGCAACTGACTCTAGAGTATGTATTTTGTTGTCAGCTCTCTCAATCCAAAGTGGATCTTGATGTCAATGAGAATTTCTGAATAAACAAACTAACTACTACAAGTTGGCTCAACTCCTGCAATACTTTGTTTATGGGTAGCTCCAAAATGTCTATAAATCAGTCACAGCTCATACTGAATACAACTCCCAGGGTTTGAACTGGAACAAAAAAGAGAGCTCTAAACTCTCTGCATTGGCTGCTAGTCAGTTAGAGGATGTAAACTGTAGAAATGTTTGCCTCTGAATCTGACAACAGCAATTTTGAGCACAACACAAAATGCCTGTTAAACAAGTACAAGAAGTACAGTTTTTTCACAATATAATAATTAAAATCGAACTGTAAAGCTAACCGAAATGCCTGAAATCATGAGACTGTCTGTCTGTCTGTGTCCAGCTGGACTGTGAGAAGTATGAAGGAGGAACCTGCACCAAGCAGTATGATCCAGTATGTGGCAGTGATGGAATAACCTATGGCACCGAGTGTGTTCTCTGCCAGCAGAACAGGCATGTAACATGCACACACAAACACATGCAAGTGTGGTTATTATTGTAGCAATATTATTTGCAAATGTTTGTGGAGTGCTGTGAAACTGTAACTCAATCTGAAAGTGTGTGCTCAGATTTGTGAATGTGTACAAGAATTATGGAAATATATTGACAACAATATAGATTCAAGAGAGTGCAAAACAAATTCTAAGCACTTTTGTGTTCACTAGAGTTTACTGTGGCTCAGGGGGTAGAGGTGGTCGTCCACTAATCAGAAGGTTGGCGGTTTGATCCCCGGTTCCTCCTGCAGCATGTCAATGTGTCCTAGAGCCAGATACTGAACCCCAGATGGCTCTTGATGCTGTGTGTTGGTGTATAAATGTGAATTTGTTTCCCTTGTGATGGCCTTTGCCATCCATGTATGAATGGGTGTGAAAGGGGGAGGGTGGCATGTAGTGTTTATAAGTGGTTGGAAGACTAGAAAGGCGCTATATAAGTACAGTCCATTTACCATTTAGTCAGCATTTCACAGTACACAGGCATAGATTCTGTAAAAGAGAGTGAAGCAGAGATGCACAGCAACAATAGTAAAAAATAACATAAATTAATTGAAATATGACTAATAATAGCAGTGGCCCTCAAACAGGCCCCTGGCAGCAGTTGCAACCATGATCCATGGGAACCTGTGAGACTAGAGAAGTGAAGTTACGACCCGGAGCAGAAACTCCAGATAGTAACAAGTTAGTAACATGCATTAATGGGAAATGAATGGTCATAGCAGTCTAGGCCTATAGTAGCATAACTATGTAATGGTTCAGGAGTTACCTGAGACAGCCCTAACTACACTGATTAGCCCTAACATTATGATCACTTGGGCACCCAGACTAGTCTGTGGCTATGCAGCCCCATATGCAACAAACTGCCAAGTACTGGGTTCTGACACCTTTCTATCAGAACCAGCATGAACTTTTTCAGCAATTTGAGTTACAGAAGTGTAGGTATTGTATTGTATCACTTTATTAATCCTACAACGGGGAAATTCCCATGTCACAGCAGCAATTATGTGAAATAAATAAATACATATATAAAAAACTATGATAAAGTGGTAAAGCTATGGTATGGTGGTAATTTGAAAAAACAGAAACTACAACATTGATCAGGTGTTGTAGAGTCTGACAGCAGCAGGGATGAAAGACCTGTGGAACCTCTCCTTCTTACACCGTGGGGTAACAGTCTGCTGCTGAAGGAGCTACTCATGGACCCCACAGTGTCATGTAGGGGGGTGAGAGGTGTTGTCCATGATGGATGTCAACTTCACTAACATCCTCCTTTCACCCACTTCCTCAATGGAGTCCAGAGGACAGTCCAGGACAGAGCTTGCTCTCCTGATCAGTCTGTCCCTGTCCGTACTGCCCCCTCTCCAGCAGACCACAGCATAGAAGATGGCTGAAGCAACCACAGAGTCATAAAAAGTCTTAAGGAGAGCCCTGCTTACTCCGAAGGACCTCAGTCTCCTCAGCAGGTGGAGGCGAATCTGGCCCTACTTGTAGAGAGCATGGGTGTTGTCACTCCAGTCCAGTCCAGGTTTTTATTGAGGTGAACACCCAGGAATTTATAATTATCTACCACCTCAATGTCCAATCCCTGGATGTTCACCGGGGTGAAGTGGGATGTTTTCCTCCTGAAGTTAACGATCATCTCCTTCGTCTTGCTCGTGTTTAGCTGAAGCTGGTTGAGCTCACACCAGCTGACAAAGTCACTGATAACAGTCCTGTATTCCAGTTCGTTCCCCTCAGAAACACATCCAACAATGGCTGTGTCATCTGAGAACTTCTGGATATGGCAGAGTGTGGAATTGTGGGTAAAGTCCGAGGTGTAAAGGGTGAAGAGGAAGGGAGAGAGCACCGTACCGAGGGGCACCTGTGTTGCAGAGCACAATGTCAGACACACAGTGTTGGAGCCTCACATACTGTGGTCTGTTGTTGACATAATCTATTGTCCATGCAGCTAGTTGTTGGTCCACTCCCACACTTTCCATCTTCACTCTGAGCAGTGACGGCTGGATAGTGTTGAAAGCACTGGAGAAGTAAAAAAACATGACCCTCACCGTGCTCCCGCTGTCCTCCAGGTGTAGCAGGGATCTGTGTAGCAGGTAGATTACTTACTGCAGCAAAACTGCGGGGGGTCCAGCTGTGTGCCCACCAGGGATCACAGGTGTCTCAGGATGATCCTCTCCATGGTCTTCATCAGGTGAGAGATCAAGGCAACAGGTCTGAAGTGGTTAGGCTCCTTGGGGCGCGGTGTCTTCGGTAACGGGACCACACAGGAGGTCTTCCACAGGGCTGGGACTTTCTCCAGACTCAGGCTCAGATTGAACAAGCGCATGACCACACCACAGAGCTGGTCTGCACAATCTTTAAGCAGTCTTGGGCTGATGCCATCCGGGCCCGGGGCCTTCCTTGCCTCGATCTTCTTAGGTTGACACTTCACCTGATCAACTGTTATGGAGAGGGGGGTGGAGGATGACTTGGTTGGGGGTATGGTGGGTGGTGAAAGTCTCAGGAGGAGTGAGAGGGGGGTGGTGAACTGGTGAGGGGGGGTGGACTGGTGGAGGTCAGGTGTTGAAGATGGCAGGCTGAGTAGTGGAGGGGCAGGGGGAGCTTGCCAGGGAAGTTGTGAAGTGGGAGCAGGGTGGGTGAGGGAGGGAGAGGAGGCAGAATCAAATCTGTTAAAAAACATATTAACTTCATCTGCCCAGTCCTTATCCCCGCTTGTTTGGTTTCTTCCCAATCCTTTTCCATGGCCTGAGATGTTCTGCAGCCCTCTCCAGACATCCCTGGCATTGTTCTGTTCCAGCCGCTTCTCCAGTTTCTTCCTGTCGCTGTCCTTTCCCTTCCTGATCTTTTGCCGGAGTTCCTTCTGGACTCTGCGCAGCTCCTCTTTGTCCCCTGATCTAAAGACCCTCTTCTTCTCATTCAGCAGGGCCTTAATCTCGGAGTTCACCGAGGGTTTGTTGTTGGGAAAACACCGTACCAACTAGGAGGGCACAGTGTTCTCCACACAGAAATTAATATAGTCCATAATGCAGTGGGTCATACTGTCAATGTAATTTCCATGGGGGATGCAGAGTGCCTCCCAGTCCGTTGTCTCGAAGCAGTCTCTGAGCCAAGCACTGGTCTCCTCAGACCACTCCTTCACAGGCCTCTTCTCAGGTGGTTGTTTATTCACCACAGGGGTGTAGTCTGTGATCAGATGGACAAGGTTGTGATCTGAGTGACCACCGTACTGGGTGAAGGTGGGGAGAGCAGAGGACAGGGAAACATGGTTGAAGTCACCGGAGATGAGGAGGAGGGATTGGGGGTGCTAGTTTTGAAGCTGGGAGACGACAGTGTGGATCTGATCTGTAGCTGCAGCAGCGACAGCCGAGGGAGGGATGTACACAGTTACAGCAATAACATGTGAAAACTCTCTCGGAAGGTAGTACGGCCGCATGCTAACCGCTAACAGCTCCAAGTCTCTGGTGCAGAGTTGCTCCTTAACACTGATGTGTGCCTGGTGGCACCATCTTTCATTCACAAACCCAGCGATTCCTCCTCCTTTCTTTTTACCGCTCTCCGTTGCTTTCCTGTCCGCCCGTACAACTTGAAATCCATCCAGGGTGATGTGTGAGTCAGGAGAAAGTTCACTCAGCAATGTATCTGTGTAGCACATGAAGCTGCATTCCTGATACTCCCTCTGCAGCCGGGTTAGCACCGTTAGTTCTTCTATCTTGTTGGGGAGAGATGTTATGTTCACCATGATGACAGAGGGTAAACATGGTTTATATCGTCTTTTCCGCTGTCTGCACTTTACTCCCGCTCTGCATCCTCTCCTCCTTCGCTGTATCTCCCCGGGGATCTCCAGCCGCTCTGCGCAGCGAAGGGGTGTGTGGCACAGGGCTAACAGCTGATCCTGGGTGTAAACAAAGGAGCCATGGTTGAGTGGGTCTCCCGACGGCGCACCAAAAGATTCAAAAAACAAGTGTGCATCCATAGCTTCACACTTGCTTAAAGTTTGTCATTTGTCGATGTGAGCAACAAAAAGTACACTAAAGCACTATATATTAAAAAAAGTACTTTTCAGTAACTTTGTCGTGCGTCGGTGTCGGGCCCTGCTGTATCAAGGTCCAAAAATCACCCAGTGTGGGCAAGCGAAGTGAGCGAGAGAGTGGCGTGAGGGAGATGAGCGAAGAGAGAGAGAGAGAGAGAGAGAGAGAGAGAGAGAGAGAGTAACGCTGTGCCAGGAGTTTTATGACTTTTGCGACTCGCCATGAAAAAGGAAGTTGTCATAACTTCAGCATACATGTACCGATCTCAACAAAACTTCACGTCTGATAAAAGTCCCGCCCCGAACACATCTATATGACAATATTCAGATATACTCATAGCGCCACCTAGTGGCAACAAGAAATATCATGTTTTATACTTTCATGTTCTACTCCTAGCAGGTTAGATCAGATCAGATTAAGTCAGATCCAGCTGAAATTTGGTCAGAAAATGCAAACCATAATGTTGATGATATGAGATAAATGTGGTGAGTTGTCTGCAGCATGGCGTCAAACGTGGACGCACATGAATTTGCTATAACTTGAGTGTACATCGTCCATTCGGCACCAAACTTCAAGTGTCTGATAAGATTCCCGCCCTGAACACACTGATAATATTCAGTAAAAGTGGTAGCGCCACCTTGTGGTGGACTTTGTTACACTTTTATGTATTTCTTCTAGCAGATTAACCACATCCAGCTGAAATTTGGTCAGAAGATGATTAGACTGTTGACAATGACATCTTATTAACCTTATGAATTTTTATTGAACCGTGTTGCCATAGCGATCGAGCGAGCATCAACTTGTTGTTTTAACATTTGATCTATTTTGCGGGGGCTAAACAGGCTCAACAATTCATGAAACTTGGTACACACATCCCAGCATTTTACATTTCATCTGGGTCTTTGATGTGGGTGCCTCAAAATGGCTCGAT